TTCTTGAAGTACCATTTATTATTCAGATATTATAATTACTATATTGTTGGTTATTTTGTTTCTTACTATTTCCGCGGTTTCAAAAATGATTCAATAAGTATTCTTAAAACTTTTATTTGCCCCAAATTGGAGCCTTAAGGAAAAAGATTTGCTTTATTTTTATGTCTTTATAACTTTACATTATGCCCAGCTCAGTTAATGAGTTCCTTATGAGCTATAAAGTTTAGTGGGAAAACATTTTTGGCCTTTAAAGGTCCTCAGATTATGTTAGTTTTAAATATTTATAAAGGAGAGTGGTCACTTGGGAAAGTCTGGAAAAGACGAGGGTGAGGAGTCAGGAAACATGGGGATGTATCCCAGGCTCCCTTGGGATCTCCTGGGCGATGTGGCTTCACCATTGCATTGTGGGAGATGGAGCAGACCCAAGACTTTGAAAGGGTACTTTGCAAAAGGCAGCAGAGCCTGGGGCTAATTCAGGGCATTAAGGACACACACCTTAGAAGCAAAGCTTTCTCCCCTAGTGTGCTGGCTGTGGCTTGGGGCCAAGTGTCCACTGACGTCGGCAAGATTCATAAGGGCCCTGTTGCCTGAGTCCCTGTTGCCCATGACTTGGCGTGGAAAGCAGTGCATTCTGGTAACAGGGAGCTGATCCAGGCACTTCTGGGGGCTCTGTGAGTGCAGCACGTGTAGCTGGCGGCTCCAGAAGGACAGTGGCTCACTGTGCCACTCCCCCCCCCTCCAGTATGCGCCCAGGGAGCCATCCGGTAGTCCTGGCACACTGATGATTTTCTTTTTTTTTTTTTTTTTTAATGCATTTGGTATGGGGTCTCACTACACAGCTCAGATTCATAGTGATCCTTCTGTTTTTCAGCCTCCCCAGCACTGGGATTACAGGCGTGTACCAGACTGTGGCTCAGACTGCCCTGGAGGCGGGGCTGGCACAGCATGTGGTGCCGGGATCAAACTGTGCTCCCTGTGCTTCCCTAAGCTGGCCTAAGCAGGAGCTTTAGTCCCCTGAACTATCTCACCGGCCCCTCGGCCCCTCAATGAGTTATTTTGTTAGATGCGTTTGAGGGGTAGTTTTCTAACTTCCTAAGCTCTAATGCTCCTTGAAGCTCAGTTCTTCTATAAAGAATTTCTTCGCCTTAACTATTTGCTTACCTTGAAAAACAATTCATAAGGCAAAAGCAGAATAAATGTTTGCTTCTTTCTCTTTTGTTTCTTTCTCTTTATTGTTTAAAGCTCATGCCTTGGAAGTCCCCCATGGTAGCCATTTTAAAGACGTCATTATAAACTCACCGGGGTTTCTTTGCTTGTTTGTTGAGAAAGGATTTCCCCGAGTAGTTCAGGTGAGACTTGAACTCACTGTGTAGCCCAGGCTAGTCTCAAACTCTTGCTGATCCTTCTGCTTCAGCCTCCAGAGTGCTGGTGTTAAAGGTGTGTAGCACCACGGCTGGCTCAACTTGTGGGGTTTTAAAGAATATTTGATCAGTTATTCTTACCACAGCCCACCTTGGTACATCTTGGTCCAGTCTGTCCGCCTGCCTCTTTCTGTGTAAGTCCTACTTGGTGACCGCTTCTTGGCTGGCTGGTGTGCATGTTTATGGCCCTTCTGGGCCCACATCTGGAATCTGCCACTTGTCCCAGGAGCCTGCCCCTCTCCGGCGGACAGTGTGTAAGGACATCTCTGGCACCTGAGACACTCCCTTTTGCCATGCTGCCTTTGCTTCCAGGACTTCCAGCAAGGAAAGAGGTATTAGAGAAAAAGGACTCTATACATATCTATTGGTATTTCCAAGTCAGATATAAGATTATAGAGGTTTACTTAAATGGTTTTGATTTTATACTTGCATTTTCTCTTACGCTGAAAGTCTTGGTTTTCAGTAACTAGAGCCTCATAGCACACCTCTCGTCCCTGCAGTGCACCTTGAGCTGCAGAGAGCCAGGAGTAATCGTAGCACCAAGATGCCCGCTACGCTCAGGCCCGCTATCCCGTCTCGTGGATGCCGCTGTGGACTTACTCGTATCATCAGAGTACCATGTGTGAAGGCCACCAAGCCGTGCACGGTCCTCTGTGACCATGCTGCCAACCCTGTGCCAAACTGGGTCCCTTTGTTTCTGTTTGCATTCGTGGTTAGGTCTTGTACTTTTCCTGTTCAGTTACACAAAACACAGCATTACGAAATTGAAACTTGTGGGCGCACCACGGCAATCTCGCTTCTACCCCTGGCGCCCTCATCCCGTTTCCCTCCTCCTCATGGATCACTGCCCTTAGTGCCCAGTATCTCCTCCTGCTTTTAAAGAATGTAAGCCATATGCTTGGAGGGCATTTGCCTATTTCAGATGCAGCAAACTTCCCTCTGTGAATGGGCCGTCACTAACAAGGGCCGCGTCGGACTCTGCAGCGTGGCCCCTGCCGTGGCCAAACGCTGTGTCCACGAAGGGTTAGGGTCACTAGGCACCTGCACTGCAAGCCTCAGCTGTGCCGCAGCAGGGGACTCCATTCCATGGAACAACCAGCAGAGACAAACCGGCACACAGCACCCCAGGTCCGAAGGCGCACACTCTGTCTGGCAGCCAACCTCTAGGGCTTATTGCCACCCGATTCAGCTTCTACAGCATTCTTAAAATGACAGAATCATGGAGATGGACCACCGTTCCCCGCCAGCACAGGTCAGGATGTTGGGGAGGTGAGGTGGCGGCTGGCTGTGGCACGCTAGGGCCTTATGGCCTGAGGAGCATTTCTATCTTTGCTGTGGACCTGGTCACCCACATCCACACATGCAGTAAACACACACACACACACACACACACACACACACACACACACACACACACGAATGGCTCATTATAGAAAAGCCAGTGGCATTTGGGTTATTGCAGGGAACTGTACCCTGGACAGGGCCCCAGCAGCGACACTGTCCTGCTGTTAGGTCGCAGGTGTCCCACTGGTGGAGGGGAGGACAGTGCCACTGACGAGTTGTGAGAGCGGAACGAAGCGGTTTTCCTGGGAGATGTGCCACATGTGGCTGCCGGTCCGCGTGCTAAATGAGCTGCTTGGTGCCAAGTGGACTTTACCCTCACCTGGGGCTGGCACGGGTCCCCCCCTTCGTTGTGGTCAGCAAGCGTGCATATAGGCAGCTTCCTTGGAGAGCCAGGGTGACGCCACATGGCCCTGCACCTTGCCTCGCTGCCCACCACCTCCCCAGGGTCTGGGCCCGCAGTGGGGCTTTTTCCATGCGGGAGTTTGACAGATGAATAATCCAACACTAAAATAAAGATTACCTAGGGGGTGAGAAGTGATGGAGTAAAATAAAGACAAGAAAAGCTGCTTTCAGACTTTAAAATCCTCTTGTGGGTTTCACATAAGACTAGAGAAGGCTCTGGGGAGGAGCCTCAGCCCACTCAGGACCCCGACCTGGCCCCTCCGTGGTGGCCTGGAAGAAAGGCCAAGCCCAGGTGCACAGGCTAAGAGTGCACAGAGTCAGGGACGGACAGCTGGCGCTGGGTGAGTTGCCAGGCTTCCCTGGGATTTTGTAGGTGTCTGCAAAGGGAACTCTTGAGGCTCTGTCCCGCATCGGTGATACACAGCCACGTGTAGGAACTAACAGGTACCTGACCGTCTGCTGTGAGCCAGAGATCTAAGGGCACGGGAGGACGTCTGTACGCTGGCCACGCGCACCTGTTGTCGCATTGGCTTGTCCAAGCTGCAACTGGTTGCTTTGCTTTTCACTACTAGGGACCGAACCCAGGGCCTGTGAAGCGTGCAGCGTCACAGAGTTGCCTGGGTTGGGCTGGAACTCGTGATCCTCCTGCCTCAGCCTCCTAGAGGGCGGGATGCCGGCGTGCCTTTGTTTTCAAAAATGTTATAATTGAAACATTTGAAAAGGAAGTTCTGTCACTCATGTGTCTTAGCTGTATTGCATGTTGTCTATGCAGCCCAAAGCAATTCCTCTTCACTCAAATGAGGGCCGCTCGCCCACCTTCCCACCCCCCATACACAAAAGACTGGTGAGTTATAGGGTGGGTTGGACATGCCTAGGATGGATTTGTAACCTGAAAGAGTGAAAAGACTTTCTATACTAAGAGGAAACCACTTGTTACGGTTTGTGTCTGCAAGTCCCCAAGGCCTTGTGCAGTCACGGGGCGGGGCAGTTTCTAGAGTTTGTGATTGATTCATGATCCAATGCTGGGATTATGGGCACTACACCCGCCCTGGGGCAGGCAGCCTGCATACCACGTAAGGGAGGGAGAGAGGCTTGCTCCTGCTCCTCCCCTGTCTCCCCCTTCTGCTCTGTTGCTTTTGTATCTTCAACCCCATTAACTGTCACTCTTCTGCTGTGCCACCTTGCCATGGAGCCAGCCGAGTATGGACTGAAGCCTCCACACCGTGTGAACTAAGTAAACCTTTTCTTCCTTAATTTTGGTCATCAGGTATTTTGTCGCAGCAATGGAAAGCCCTCAGCAGGGGACTCCACTCCATGGAACAACCACAACACAGTAACAGCCACAAAGTAACTAAGACGCTGCTAGTCGCAGTGTGAACCTTTTCTCTAAAAATGTATGGGGGGGGGTGCAGGAGCATTTACCAAACATGCGCTGGGGTCCGCGGCGGGGGTGCAAGACAAAGCAGCCCTCTTCCCCAGGGAGAGCGCAGTGGGCACCCTGTACCCCGGTGTGGATCCCCGGTGCTGTGTGGTAGACACAGAAGGTGCCACAAGGCTGCCATTGTCACCTCTGTCCCCCTGGCCTATGATGGCCGCAGCGGCGGCAGCACTCGTGGAGTAGTTTCGTTGTTTCCACCAGGAGGGGGATGGTTCGGTTGACCTGCAGCACAGCTTTCATTTTACTTTCCTTATTTCCTTTTGATAACGTTTCTTTTTTTATCTTGCTTGTTTTCTTGATTTTCCTCACAGAAGCGTGCTTGGGTTTCTCTGGAGCAGGTGCTTTCTGTGTCTTGCCTCTTCTTTCTGACTAATGTGATTATTCTTTTTCTCTAGCTTGAGGATGATATCATTGTCAAGCAGAATTATTTTAATACTATCAAAAACTTTGCCCTTCAACTTTCTTCTGAGGAGTGGATGATTCTGGAGTTTTCCCAGCTGGGCTTCATTGGTAAGAAGAGCTTCAGATTTATGCATGTCTTCAAACCAACCGACTCTCGGGATCTTAGGCTGTTTGCCTTTTTAGTCATTAGTTGTGTTTTTCCTGAGGAAGTGGATTGTTCTTAATAAAATTAGTTAAACCTCTTTGTGTGGAGCATCAGACGCCAACCCAAGAGAGACCTCGGTGGCTCTGAACTTATTGAACTCAATACTTATTTTAAGCCGGGTGTGTAGTACACACCTGTAATCCCAGCCCTCTGGGAGGCTGAGGCAGGAAGATCCCAAGCCCTGCCTGGGCAACATTTTGAGACCTTACCTTTAAATAAAAACAAAAAAGGTCTGAGGATGTAGGTCAGTGTGAAGGCCTTGGGTTCAATCTTGAGTACCACAAAAACCAAAACAAACTCATGTTAAAATTTAAAAATCATTTTTACTTGTGAAGTCTCAATGAAAGAAAATTTAGGAGATTTCACATTTGTTGATTTATACACACATTTGCATTTATCAAGAGATCTGTATATCACTGTATGCCTCTCGTGCTTCTCCAGTGGCAAGCATTTTAGTAAGACACGCGAGAAAAACTTGCCTGGGCCTGGGTGAGAGCATGAGGCCTTGGTCACCTCTGCGGCTCCCTCCAGCGGGTGGCTGTGTGGCTCAGTGGTCCGCCTGGTGCTTGTGAGGAGTTAGGGTAGGAAGGGCAGTTGTTGGTACACTTGGGTCACAGACTTCACTCATTAAGCTGTTTGGTGACCGGCCTCTTCACTGTCCCAGCTCTCGACTGTGAATGTCCTTCCAGGTAAAATGTTCCAGGCGCCAGACCTCACCTTGATCGTGGAGTTCATATTCATGTTCTATAAGGAGAAGCCCATTGACTGGCTCCTGGACCACATCCTCTGGGTGAAAGTCTGCAACCCGGAGAAAGACGCGGTAAGGTCATTCCTTCCTCGTGGGGCACGGCGAGCATGGCTCCTCTGCTTCCCTTAGGAAGAGGCTTTTCCAGAGCCACCTTTTCCCACAGACAGTCAAGGGAGCAGAGAGCAAAGGGCTTTCCTTTTGGTGCCTCAGCTGCTCATTGACTTCCCTAAGCCGCTGAGGAGCCTGATCCGGAAGCGTCGTTAAGAAAACCTTGGGAGCCAGCAACCATTGCCGCACGGTGCCATCCCCATGTGGCTGCTGTGCGTCGCCAGCCTCTTTGGGGTCTGCTGCTGTTGGCTGCTCAGCCCTGCCCCGCAGGGGGTTTTAGTGGTTTGTACATATTTGTGGAAATTACTAGGCTCTCACCCCTCCAGGAAGAGGAAAAAGATAAGAGCACCATCTTACACCCAAACAGCAATTCAGAGTAAAGTCTGTCTCATGTGTTACTTCCAAGAAATGTAGCTGTTTGGTAACCCTCGGGTCAGGGTGGCAGGTAAGTGAGATAGTAATTTTTGCCTTGATCCTTCAGACAGCAGGTTATTTCCACAGAAATTAGTGTGAAGTAATTAGATGTATGTTCTTGTTCAATTTGAATTGTATTTCTAGAGAGAAAATAACTTATCTATTTGGTGTGAACATAAAATATATGTGTGTGAATCCTTAATGACTGTTGTCAATTTTGACATATAGAAATTAATAAACATTTAACATATGGGTTAAATTACTATAGAGTTAAATGATCATTTATTGTAATAATAAGCATTTATATAATTTGACTTCATGACTTCATTATAGTTTCTAGAATGGTATGATTTTATTATCTGCCAATAAGATTTGAGATTCTCCCTCATAGTATCTGAGCTATCATTACATTCTCTGTTTAAAAGCAACAACCAAAAATCCCAAACAATACATTCTCAAGGCAAGTTAGGGAATACAGCAAAGTAGAAGATATGCCTAGTTTGCAATACTACTTGACCATATAAGTTGATTTGAACAAATAATTTTAAAATCTAAACCTTTTTGTGTATTTTCTTGGAGACTTACAGAAATTTTTACTGTAGAACACAAAAATGTGACTGTCGTCTTTAGCTTCCTGATGCCTACAGTTGCCTATAATACATCCTGTGTAGTTTAATAATAGATGTATTATGTGGTAAGACTGCAAAATGATCCTATGTGGTAAAAACTCTCAGTGAAAATTAAAGCAGAAAAATTCTTTTAAAATCAACCTTAGGTCCACTGTTCCTCAGTCTGTGTTTTTTTGTGGCCTTTGGTCCTTCAGTTGCTTCCTTTAAGCTGTTGAGGAAGTAGCCCCCATCCTTGCCAGCCCCCTAAATAGTCTGTCTTTGACAGTGGTGTGGGAAACACTTCAGGCCATCCACAGATCTTCCCACGCTGCACCATTCTTCCAGGGCCCTTCCGGTGTGAATGCCATGTTTCATCTGCAGTGATGGGCTTGGTCCCAGACTCTGATGTCACTTCCTGTCTCCCCTCTACATTTCTGGTTGCCCTCTCCCCCTCAGATTGATTTTCCTCATCATTCTCTCTTGTTTTCCTCCCCCAACCTCCTATTTGTGTAAATGAAATATACTGTTTCAACTCTGTGCTGCTGATTGAATGCTGATGACATCCCATAAGAATTAGGCATTTTAGCACCCAATTATTAGAAATCTTTCAAAGGAGTAATACCTTAAAATATGTCTTCTTTACTTTTTGGCCTCAAACTTACATAAGTTGCGCAAACTGAAGAGTTTGAAAAATGTGTCAAAGTAGCCCTGACTCTTCTGAGACATAATCAGGTGCCTGTACAGGATGGACCATCATGTCTGAGCCTCAGGCACCTGGGGGTGGAAATGTAGGGTGACAGGCTATAATGTGGTTGGCTATGGTATAATTGGCTCTAGTGGGACTGGCTGTAGTGTGAGTGGCTGTAGTGGGGTTTGCTGTAGTGTGATTGGCTATAGTGTGACCAATCTGTGAATTTGCCCTTAACTGTTAAGGTGGATTTGTTCATGGGCCTTTTAGCATCACTTGCCTCACATCTGCAAATTGCATTCATGCAAACAAAATGTTTATTATTTTGAAAATTCTTTGTTATGTGTCTGGTAATTTGAATATTTAAACCAATCTGCTATAGTTTGTGCATTTTAGTCTTAAATGTCAAATCTATATTAACATATTGTGAAGGATGGTTGAAATTAAATTCTCCCTTCTTCCAAGGTTTAATGCCTCAGAAATTTTCAATTTCCAGATCGTGGCTGTTGGTTACAAAAGAGCGAATCTCTCTCTTTTGTTTTCTTTTTTGGTGCCAGGGAAGCGCTTATTCTCCAGAGCCATCTCCCCGGCCCCGATAGCAAATACCTTAATGCCTCATAATTTTGGAATTATTACTTGCATCTCCTCATTTTTCCAGATAAGGACTTGATTTCACTTTATTATGCAACTGACAAGTTGTTTTCTTTTCTTTTAAACTGTTTAGAAACATTGCGATAGACAGAAAGCCAATTTGCGAATTCGCTTCAGACCTTCGCTTTTCCAACATGTTGGCCTCCATTCATCACTGTCTGGAAAAATTCAGAAACTCACGGTTGGTAGTTTAAATTTTATTTGTTCATGGGTGTACAACTTGTTAGTGTGTAACTGTGCATTTTCTTCTTAAGTAAGTTGTACGTTATTGAATAGCATACATAACATTTTTTTCTAGGATAAAGACTACATGAAACCATTACTTCTTAAAATCCATGTAAATCCACCCGCAGAGGTCTCGACTTCTTTGAAGGTTTATCAGGGACACACACTGGAGAAAACATACATGGGGGAAGATTTCTTCTGGGCTATAACCCCAAATGCTGGAGACTACATCTTGTTTAAATTCGATAAGCCAGTCAATGTAGAAAGGTTGGTGACTCTTGTTATATTTGCTTAGAATTTAGATTTTACTTATTCATGATGTGATTTGTGGTATGGTAGAATTTGTGTGTGTGTGCCTAACAGATACGAGGAGACGATGGGTTGCAAACACTGGATTATAGAAAACATTTATAGCATGAAGTCATCATTGAACATATCTGGTGAATTCTGTAGATATTTCTGGGCTTATTTATATTCAGCACAATTTTAAAATACTTTTATTTAAACCTTTTTCATACTCTTAGTTTTCCTGTCCTTATTCTAGAATATCCCTTAAAATTCAGTTCAGGTGGGTGATTAGCGCTGTGATTTGGTTAAAATGAGAAATTTAACATACTGTGACTATTCTGAGTCAGTGTTTTTGCAAATCCTGAATTATTGTTAGTACACCATGGATAAATTTACGATCCTTTTATGTTTTGCAGCACTCACATTTATTTTACAAAATTTAGTACTTTTTCCTCCCCCCTTTTTTTTCTGTATTTTAGGGAAGGGTTTACAGGATGTTCAGGACCTCACTACTAGATCGGACTTGTAGTGATCCACCTGTTTACAGCCTCCCAAGCGCTGGGATTATGGGTGTGCACCACCACGCCCAGTTCCAGTTGCCATCTCAGCACGCCCTGGGGGTGGGGCCAGTGTGGCAGGTCTGGGGATTAACCCCTCCACCCCCTGCTTCTCCCTTTTTGAAAACATAATCATGATTTCTTCGGTTCTTCATTTTTGGGTGTTTCCCAGACTACCCATGGCATACTTAGTAAGACGTAGCTCTCTTTTCTGTGACACATGGGAATATCCATCAATCTATGTGTCGTTCGTGGATCCTGTTACCTTGCTCTACTTAGTAGTTTTAGAATTTTTTGAAAATATTTTAATCCTGTCATCTGCAAATAAGGACAGTTTTATTTCTTTTGTTCCAATCTGTGCCCCTTTTCTTTCCTGTTCTTCCCTTATTATCGAGGCTAGCGCTTTTCAGTACAATGTTGAACAAGTACTGAGAGGGCATCATCTTAGTGCTCAATCTTCAGGAGAAATACTCTGTGTCCATTAAGTTAGCTGTAGGGCTTTATGCATGCTTATTACCAAGCTGAAGAAGTTGCCACTCTGTTCCTAGGTTTCTAGAGTAAGTCTTGGAGTGAGTGTGTGTGTGTGTGTGTGTGTGTGTGTGAGTGTGAGTGAGAGAGAGAGAGAGACCAGCTCAGTACCCCTAGAATACACTCAGTAACAATGTGTAAATACGTTTATGTGTTGTTGATTCTGTATGCAACTATTTTGTAATAATTTTGTGTCCGTGTGTGCAAGGGCATTGGTTTGTAATTTTCATTTATTGGAACTCTATTTGGACTGGTGTCAGGTTGCCTTGTAAAATGAGTTGGAGGGAGTTGCTTTTGGAAGAGACTGTGTAGAATTGGCGTTCATTCTGTAAGTGTCTGACGGGATTCTCCAGTGATATCTGGAGGTGAGGTTCTGAATTCTCTTGGAGGAGTTTTTAAATGACAAAACTTACTTGTCTTTTTTCTTTTTTAAAATGCAAATGATTCATGTGAAGGTAGGGGAGAAGGGGAGAGAGGACAGAAGAGGAGAGGGGAGGGAAAGGGGGAAGGAAGGAAACAGGCATGGCGGGCAGCCACCCTGGATGGGGAGGGAGCGCTTGAAAGTGAATGAACCATGGGCTTCTTGCAAATTTAATTTTCTTCATGGGTGTAGGACTGTTCAGAGTTTTGGCAGTATGTCTTCCGGTCTTCAGCCCCAGCCCTTCCCCCTTCTGCGACTACAAAGTGGCGATCATCTGCTCGAGTCCCTTGGGCTCCTAAGCTCTCTTCGGTCTTTTTTCTCCATCAGTGCTTTGTCCATTCTCCACATCGAGCGGTTCTCATTGTTCCGCCCTCGTATGCATTGTCTCTCACCCTCCCTCCTCCACTTTGCCGTCCAGCCCGTCCCTTGAGTTTCTGTTTTGGTTGTAAAATTTTTGCTTGGTTCTTTATATCTTCCATTTCCTGAAGATTTTTCGGAGTTTTCATTTGTCTCCAACGTGTATACTTCCCTGTTGAAGCATTTTTATGATGGTTCCTTGCAGTTCTCCAGGTTATTCTGGCATCTCTGACATCTTTGGGTTGATGTTTATTGATTATTTATTCATTTTTTTACTCCGTTGAGACTGCTCTTGGTTTTATACATCTAAAGCCTGGGCATCGTGGGTTCAATGTCATGAGACACTGAGTCCCCTTCCGTCCTCTCTGGCTTCCTTGATGCCATGGCTCCAGGCGGGGGGAGGCACTGCCACCTCCTTCCTTCCAGGTGGGGGAGAGGCGGCTCTTTGCTTATCTCTTGTTGACACCAGAAGAGGCAGAGGCCCCTCTTTCTGCTGGATGGGGCAGGGGTGCTGGCCCCCATCTGACCTCTGTGACGACACCCTTACTGCTGCCTCGTGCTCTCCGGTGATATCGTCCTGGGAAAGAAGGCCTCCACTCCCATCCAGCTGAGGTGACACAGCTCCAGGGGCGACTGGGGCACTGTGTCATGCGGCTCAGCATGCACAGCCCTGTCAGCTGCCCACGGGGCCTTGCAGACGTGGCTTAGGGTGGCCACATTGTTTTTCTGTGGTGCTGGCTGGTGTGGAGCAGTTATGGTCTAAAATTCTTTTCCTTTGCGATCTTTGGGCTCCACTGAGCAGTCTGGGTGTGGAGCTCTGATGTCTGCTCCTGTGGGCGTTTCCAGGTGGCCGACATCTCCAGTTCCAAGTCTAAAATGTACGAGATGACAGACCATTTCAGAACTTAGCGCCACATTGTTCCTTGCAGTCCAGAGTCCTTGGCCAGTCTGTCTTTTCTCAGCCTTCCGCAGTCTTTGATCTTTTTTTCCTCCTTTAGGACTAGGGTGTGAACCAAGGGCCTTCCCACTGAGCTCCATGCTCAGGTTTTTAAAAATTACTTATTTTTTTATTCATTTGTTCTGAGACAGAGTCTCACTAAGTTCTGAGGCTCACACCTGTGATCCTCCTACCTCAGCCTCCCAGAAGCGGGAGTTCCCAAGAGCACTTTACTTCTGTGCTTGGAAAAAGAAGACAGAGGGGCCAGATGGGCTTTCGGAGAGTCTGCTGAAGACCTTCTATGTCAGACATCAAAAAACCTAATTTACAACAGTACTTCAATTTTTAAACTTCTCTAAGATAATATTTCTATGAGAACACAACTATAAATTGAGGTCACAATTCTGGTAGGACACATTTCTGTGAAAGATTTAATGTCTGAATTTTCTCCGAGTTTACGGAAGCCCTCACCCTTCCTGGGATAGAGAAAGGGAATTGCCTTATGATTCCCACAATTATTTATTTGCTCAGAAGGGGGAAAAACAAGCTTGTATTTCTCAATACAGATATGAAATGTTTTATTTTCTGATACTGTGTTCATAACACAAATTAAAAGTGTGAAGAATGAGAAGAAAAATCTCAACCCCTTGGACACCAGCGTGGCCATGTTGTACCTGCATGGACACCAGTGTGGCCATGTTGGCACATTTCTTCAGGGCATCCTGCACACTTTCTGCTTTGGCTCATAGTCCGGATGTGATTTTTCAGTGTACTCCTCTGTGAGAGTTTTGCTGGCCACATAGACCCCGCCATTTACTTCAGTGGTATTCGTTCTCAGTGATGTCAGAGTTTTCACTGAATAATCACAGGGCGGACACCTCTGACCCTGTCCAGACTCTGGATTACATGCATCCTTTCCTGCACAGTAGTCCACCTGGCTCTGTGCTTTGACCTGCTCGGCCAAGAGAGTGCTGGAAGTCATTGCAGCGTAGGGTAGAAAGGTCTGTGCTTGGAATGTTTGCATCTTCCTCATGTGTGACATCTGCCAGACATACCCTGCTGTCACACATACTTGGCCAAGTGTTTGAAATGTGCAAGGTGCTTTTCACCAACTCCTCTGAATTTCTTGGAACAGGCACGTGTGGTGGGTGAAGGGTTCTGCTTTGGTCAGAGGTGACTGAGATTTGGGAAGCTCACTGAACTGACCAGAGGTGACGGCTCTTGTGACGAGGGACCCAGGTCTTTCTAACTCCTAAGCCTGAACTTTCAGCTAGTTAACGTAACTAAATTTCCATTCTTTACATTAACACATATATTGTCTCTTCTCTCTGGTTCATGTTCTTTCCACACTACTTTGAATCATTGGTTTTTAAAGTGTCAATATGCAAGAGCTTTATATACATGCCCAAAGAATTTTCTAGATTTATCGCATTGCATCACATAGTCGTTCTTCAAGGGGTTTTCAAAGAAGTGCATTTAGTTTGATTCTTCTCCTATCAGAGGACTCCTGGATGTCCCCAGGGAGACCCTCCCTCATGCAGGTGTGCAGCACACCTAGCTACCGCGCTCTGGGCTGTTCCCAGCCAATGCTGTTTGTACCTGCAGTGTTGCAAACAGTGACCTGCAGTCATTGCCTTCTCTGTAGTTACGCCTGAGGTCATGTTAAGCAACAGCCACATCAATGGCAACTGGAGGGACTGACATCACCTAGGGTGGCTTCCTGTTTGCCGCTGTGTGTACCGCAGAGTCCTGGGTGACTGGAGCTGCTGGATTGAGGTCGTCTTCTTGCATCCTGCTGAAACCGAGTCTGATGGTATTTTTCTTTTTTTCCTTGTGTTCAGTTACTTGTTCCACAGTGGCAATCAGGAGCACCCAGGAGACATCCTGCTGAACACAACTGTGGACGTCTTGCCTTTAAAGGTACTGCTGTCCATTCCCTGCCCCTCCCCTAGGAGCCAATCATGGGGGACTTGGCTTAAAGCCTGTTGGTGAGATGAAAGGGAAGCCTACTTATTTGTAAGACTCCACCCAGGGTCATGTTAATGTGTTTGAAGTTCAATGTAACCTGGTATATTGGCCCATTTGCCTTATTCATAGAAATGGTCTTCATTTTGTTTTCTGTTGGGAAACAATGAATTTATGCTAAAAACAAGTCGTTATTTTACTTTAATGCTTACTTACTGTTTGTGTTTTGAGCCCCAAAGTACTGTGTAAACATTTAACACCTGTTAAATTGTATTGGTCTATCAAGAATCTTAGGTGTCTCTTACGATAACAGAGAGCCTTAGGTCTGTATTAATTTTTCTGTATGCCTTTCAATGGGAAATAATATTGTGTTAAATTGACCTAGGGTCTCATTTCCCAGCCACCGTTATACAATGCAAAAATTCAAATGATCATTTAAGTGACTTTGATGGATAAGTGGCAGTTCAATTTTCTTTTTTAGAGATAGTGGCGTAGCAAATGCCACTTTCATTTAGATTAAGATGTACTAATAAGATAAATGTATTTTAAATAGAATTACTTGTAAAATAAATATTTTTGTTTTATTTTAGAGCAAAGGTTTGGAAATAAGCAAAGAAACCAAAGACAAACGATTGGAAGATGGCTATTTCAGGATAGGTAACATCTACTTGAGTAAAATATCCTTTCTTTTTCTAGACTTATTCCTAAAGTAATTGTAAATGCTTTACCGCCATTGAGCACCTTGAGGGTCACAGTGCCCAGAGTGCTCCTGGTTTTGCCTGTTCCTGTGTGTCACCCTTGTCCACAGGAGCTGTGGTGAGCACTCACTCACCAGCTCCTCATCCTCCTTCATCTGCCCTGTCCTTGCTGTCACTTGTGGCAGGGTAGCCCTCAACTGCCTCTCATTCTGTCTCTCCCTGGGTGAATTCCGGATGCCACAATCTGCACTTTGGTCCCTGCCTGCCACCCCAGCACCCTCTGTGTCTCAGTGCCCACTGACACTGGTGGCCACCTGGTCACCTCTGAGCGTCTTAACACAGGGGTTGCTTTATTGGCCACCATGACTGGCTGCCCTGGCCCCATGTGCCTGCGGGAGCCCAACCTTGGGACTCATGCTAGCGGCACCTCCCTGCCACTGAGGCTCCTGAGTCACCCTGTGAGGGTGCCATGCACACTCTGTCTTCAGGGAGGGAACCACCTGGAGCTGTGTCCAGGCCACTGCAGTTGCCACCGTAAGTGTGGTAGCACCGTGGACCCACGCAGACATCTTGGTGACTTCTGTTGTTGGGTTCCTTAGCTTCCGCCCTCCTCCATGCCTGGTGACCTCCTCTTTTCCTTTTTCTAGACCTGAGCTATTTTTCCATTGCCTGGCCACATTTCTAGCCACTTTCTCTGCTAAATTGCTCTGTCATTTTTGCTCCTGATCAATGCTCTGGTGTCCTTTGTGTTAGCTTTCTGCCACTGTGACAAAACAGCTGAGAAGAATCAACTTAAAAAAAGTGGAAAAGTTTATTTGGCTCACCGTTTTGGAGGTATCTGTCCATGGTTGGTTGGCCCATTGCTTTTGGGCCTGTGGTAGAGCAGGACATCATGGAAGGAGTATGACAGAGGGGTCTGCTTGCCCTCTGGTGGCTGGGAAGCAAAAAGAGAGCCAGGAAGGGGCCATCAGCTGGCCAAATAGCTCAGCGGATTAAAGTGCCTGCAAACAGGCACAGGGGCCAGGGGTTCAATCCCAGGCCTGCGTGCCAGTCCCACCCCCGGGGCATGCTGAGACATTGATTAAGACTGGGTGTGGTGGCATGTGCCTGTAATCTCAGCTCTTAGGAGGCTGTAAACAGGTGGGTCACTAGGAGTCTGATCTAGTAGTGAGACCCTGAACACCCTGTAGACCCTTTCCTGAAATACAAAAAGACAAGAAAGGGCCATGGTCCTCTAAGGCACACGCAGAGATATAGCGTCCTCCTGCTAGGCCTCCCGGGGCCTTGGAAGGGTTCTGGGTCTTTGGGGGCCATTCCAGATCCAAATTGGATCCACATCCACGAATCCCCTGGTGTAACTGCCCCCCGTGTCCTTCAACCCATGCTGCAGACACTGTAATTAAGGGCTTACCAGACTCAGCTCTGCCCTGTGCTCGCCCTGGGATTCTGATTCAGTGAGTGAGTGTACATTTTCTCTTCACTCAAACAAGTTTGTACTTTTCTAAGTAATAAGCAAAAGAGAATAGGTAAGTTAACCTGAAGATCTGCAGGACTGATGTGTTTTCCTGGCTTGTTCTGGAGCACTTTCCACATGGGGTCAGGCATTAGGCTGTGGCTGAACAGTAGAAGGCCAGAAGAACAGGAGGCCAGAAGAACAGGAAGCTCCATGGCTCTTCCTCAGGGCCTGACTTGTATGACACAGAATTGAGAAGTTCTACTTGAAGGGTGCTGTGTGGGCAGAGTGGAGATTTGAGCGGTAGCTGCACACACACCGAATGGGAGCCCAGCTGGAAGCTTCCCAGGGAGACCCTGGAGACAGGTAGCTCCTGCAAGCTGCCTTGGATGGGAACAGCCACAGAGAAGGGCCCCGCCTTGGAGCCTGACTGAATGGGATCTGCTACTGGCTGCAGGTGCTGTTGACCATGACAGGTAGTCAGTGGCAGGGTATGCGCTCCTGGTGGTTGAGGTGGGTTAGGTCTGAGAGAGTGGCTGCCTTGGAAGAGAAACACTGGGGGAAGACAAGGGCAGAAGGCTTTCTGCACAGAGGAGTGGACAAGGTTACTCCAAAATTTTCTCCTTCCTGCGGAGGTAGCTCAGTAGAATAAGTGCCTGCCTGGCAAGCACAAGGTCCTGAGTTCAATCCCTGGTACCGGAAAAAAAAAAAAAAAAAAAAAAAAAAAAAAAAAATCCTCCTTCCTGATTGCTCTTCTGTCTTGCCTTTTTGTACTTATTTGTTACACCTTCCGGTCAAGGACAAATGCTAATTTGTAATGAGAATAAATGCACACCGTCCAAACACTCTACAGACCAAGGACTTCCCCACCCCTGACCCCTGGCCAGCCAGTGGGCGTCCTGCCAATGGCTCCCTAGTGGCAGGAACTGTAATGCTTTCTGCCCTTTCAGAAATATTTTGTGCCTAGTGAAAAATAGAGCACACACTGATAACACAGTCCATGTCTCTGTTCTGCCTCTTGCTTCTTTTCTTTCTTTTTTTTTGTATGTTAGGGAAGGGTCTACAGGGTGTTCAGGGTCTCATTACTAAATCAGAGTCGTAGTGATCCTCCTGTTTACAGCCTCCCAAGAGCTGGGATTACAGGCGCTCGCCACCATGCCCAGTCTCAATTGGCATCTCAGTGTGCCCTGGGGGCAGGGCTGGCATGGCAGGCCTGGGATTGAACCCCTGGCCCCTGCACCTGCTTGCGGGTGCTTTAATCCACTGAGCTATTTGGCCTGTCCTTGTTTCTTTTGCAAAAGACAAAATACACAGATATATTCAGAACATGAATTTTGAAAATATTTTAGATATTTTGCTGCATGACAATACGGAAATGATATAATGAACATCCATGTGTTCACACCCAGCTTAAGTTTGTTTGCCCGGTGACTTCCCCTTCCTCTTCCACCTGAAGGCAAGACAGCTGCTCTCCTGCCTCCGCTGTTTATCTGTGGTGTGGGGATTTTCCGCATACACATCTCTGTCCATGATGTACTCTGGCATTTTGCTTATTTGAAAATGTGATACAGCTATCACTCTGTGGTCCGCAGTGTTTCCTTCTCTGGTCTTGTGTTTTTCTCTCATCGTGAGGAGATCCACCCGTGTGGCTGTGTGCAGGGCTTGTTCCTTTTCACCTTGTCAGATACTATGCCCGTGTGTGAGGTTCCTCTGTAATACATACTTAGAAATCTTTACCTGTATGACATTCTATGTCAACTCATTCTTTTTAACTTTCCATTGGTTATTTTCTTGATCATTTATTTATTTGGTGCAGGTCTCACTATGCAGCTCAGACTTGTAGTAATCCTCCTCCTGTCTTGGCCTCTCCAGCACTGGGATTACAGATGTGTGCCGGCATCCCAGCCTCTGTGGCTAGCTTGGTGCACCCGGAGTCAGGCCAGCATGGCGTGCAGCACTGGGGATCGAACTCGGGTCCTTGCGCTTGCCAGGCAGGGGCTTAGACCGACAGGCTATCTCCCTGGCCTATCTATTGTTTCTTTAGTGTTCCCTAATGTTAGTATACAATATGTGTTTAAATAAAACTTATTATGATAAAAGACACATTACCCTGAATTCCCCTCAGAATCATTCCCCTCACTTTGAACACATGTCCCCTTTGCATCCACCACTCTGAAGCAGATTTGGGACTCCTCTTCCCTCTGTGTAGGAGGTGTGATTGAAAAATACAGTGCACGCCACTGCTGCGTGCCATCCAGCAGCGAGACAGCCTTGTACACGTAGTATGGTGTGCTTTTGCTCGTGCCATCCACTCACGTGGCACCATATGACTGCCCCAAAGTCAAAGTGGCTGTGAAAGCTAATATTTTGAATCAATTCAGGACATTGAGGCAGCCACAAGTGCACAGTGAGACACTCCTGACAGAGGACTTCCAGAGCTGAGGAGTGGGCCGGGGAGATAGCTCAGTGGCATAAGCGCCTGCCTGGCAAGTGTGGGGTCCTGTGTTTGATCCCTGGTACAGAAAAAAGTATTTTGAGAGAGGTTAATGGCAATGCATCTTCTTAAATTTTTAAAAATCATTCACCGTAGTTTTCAGTCACCTAACTTGCTTAGCCGGTGTCCTAGTGTGAGCGCCTGTCTCGTGGGCTATCTTTTGCTATCTCATGCACACATTTTTCACACCGATGAGAGTATATATATAGCTCAAGCTACAACTGTAGAGTGTAAGTGTCTTTATGAAGCTCGTTTTACTGTTTGGAAAGTCATTTCTAGAGACAAGGGATCAGGTGACACTGTTAGATACGCCATTAGTTAAAATGGTGACATTCCACATATTTGTTCCTTCGGAATCCCCGGCCTTATTCAGTTTTCTGTAGTACTTTTCTGTGGCATGTACTGCCTACCCCAGTCTAACACCAAGTATGGACAGACTTCATGAAATTTTTAATATGTTTTGAATAGATCCATTAATTAGGAATCTACAAGTTCAGTATTTACTGAGGAAAAGTGTAGCAGCCTTCTCCACCTCGTTTTCCAATCTGAGTATATCCTGCCTTGCTGTTAGCTTGTTAACACGTGAGTAGATAGAACAGAAACAGTGGGCTGTGGCCCCTGGCTCGCTGCCTGATTTTTAGTGGTCTGTGGGCTAAGAATGTTTAGAAAAATTGTTTTCATTTTTATTTTTATTTGTTTATATATTTATTTTTTACTAATAGCAAACAACATTGATTTTATTTGCATTTATTTTATGCTTAATTTATTCCCATGCCATAAGTTTTTGTTTCTTCAGTTTCTTCCGGGATGCCTTTCTCTTCTCTGCAACTTCCTCTTCTGGTTTGGGAACAGTTTGTTCCTTTTCAGTAAGGATCATCTCAACCTGGCAGGGGGAGCTCATGTATGGGTTAATCCAGCCATGAGTTCTGTAAGTACGGCGGCACATCTTGGGTGCTTTGTTCACCTGGATATGTTCAATAACCAGAGAATCTACATCTAAACCCTTAAGCTCAGCATGATTCTCTGCATTTTTAAGCACGTGCAGCAAAAATTCAGCACTCTTTTTGGCCTATGGACCCTGCATCCAGCCCCACTGTTTGGCCTGGGCACACCTACCCACTCTACCGTCTTAATGCTGGAATGGTATTCATTGCTTCTTTAATGTGACATCCTTCAGATACTTGGTGGCCTTTCGGATATGCATACTGGGCAGTTTCACGTGTGTTCTTAAAGTGAATGTGAAGATTTGAGCCTCTTGATTTGCATGATTTTGTGGGGTTTTCTGGGTCAAGAGAGTAGCGAACCATTTTCACAGGTCACCTCAGGCCGCTCACAGGAAGAGGAGGAGCAGTGGTCTCTGGGAGAGTTCCTCATTTTTAAATGGTTGGAAAAAAGTAATATATTGTGACACATAAGGTGATGTAAGTGGCATTTTGCAGCATGCACACTTTTATTCTGGCACATCCATGCTGCCTTGCTCACGTACCGCATGTGTGTGCATTTGTGCCACAGCTGGTGTGAACGAGTGGTGGCTGGAGGAGTCGGGGTTGTGCTCTCCTGGCTTCCTGCAAGTAGCAAGGACGCGCCTATAATTTGACAGGCTGTGATGCCGCAGTTGCTGCTGTAGGTGCCTGTTTAAATTTCCAGTGCTGACTCGTCATGCCAAAGCAACAAGAGATGTTTAATGGTGCACTATTTAACCCAGTGGAGTTCAGGTCACATTTCAAAATTAGGTGTCAGACCATTGTTATTGTGTAGTTACGTCACTATGGTGTACATTTCTACCCTGAGCACTCACGCTAGTTTTCCCTACTTGGAAAAATTAGTTTCACATGGAATATCTCATCACAGCAGAAGCTGTTCACAAAAGTTAAAAAAAAAGGAAACAAAGCTATTAAAAATGAGTTTCCAAGTGGCAGATTAACCAAGCAAGACAACACCAAGCATGAGTTAACTGAATCCTGTTTAATTGCAGACATGGGTACGGAGAAAGGTAAACTCTTAAGACGAGGCCATCAGCAACAACTGCTTGAAGAGTTGAAGACATTGGAAGCTGTCTTACTTTTCTATTGTTGCTGGGACAAATACCCGACACTCAAAATGAGGGAAGGAAAGGTTTATTTAGCTCGCAGTTGCTGGGGGATCAAGACACTAGAGGAGGGCTGGGGCGCTGCCATGTCCAGGATGACCCTTTCCACATCTCCAAGAAAGCACAGGCTAGGCTGACAAAAATTCTCAGAACTGATAATGGCTTCTCCTACCACAGAAAAGTGCAGTGGCTTAGCAGTGGTAGAGTCTTACTAGGGTGGTTTAGGCTTGGGACCAAGATTGTAGTGTTTCCGAAGAGAAAAATTGCCCTCAACCATTATTATGACTTTGAAAATTGTTTTGTGCTGCAAGGTTGTTAATGTGTCTTCATGAAATTCAACCTAAAATTACAAAATAAAAGTGTTGTATGTAAAACTTACATTGCAGTCATTTTGGTGACAGCAACATTGTTTATTAAGTAAAGGCTCTTTATACTCTTCTTACACTGTCAGAAGTCAGGCAAAATTTTCATCCTGCACGAATTTACAGTAGATGCAGAAGCCACCATAAAATGTGTACATATTTCAGGAAAATAACATTTGCATAAACATTTTAATGCATATGATACTGACTCCTGATAAATTGACTTTGTCCATATGCATGATAGGATTTTCATATCTCATTAAATTTAGTATTAAAATATTTATGCAAATGTTTCTTTTCCTGAAGTGTATGTATTTTTTTTATGGTGGATTCTATTTTTTAAGCCAAAACTGCACTTCCACCAGCAATTTTGGACCTCAGGGCAAATAAAAAGACTCCCACACTTCTGAACCTACCTGTGCAGGGGACAGGGGCTTACAAGGAACCTTTGGTTAGAAATTATTCATCTGTAATGTAATAATGATATACTAGACAGTGAATCAGAGAGAAAAAGCTAAAAGAACTCTATAAATAACTTTGAGTGATGAATGTGTGCCGTTGAAAATCCTCTATTTGAGGGCTGGCCAGATTGCGGACTAACGCACCTGCTTAGGCAGATGCAGCCAGGGTTTGACCCCCAGCATGCTGTGCTTGCCCCACCCCTGGGGCATGCTGGGACAGCGATTAAGACTGCGCATGTGGTATGCGGCTGTAATCCCAGTGCTTGGGAGGCTGAAAACAGGAGAATCACTGAGTCTGATCTACGTAGTGAGACCCTGTACTAAATTTAAAAAAAAAAAATCTCTTATTTGGAATTTGGTGTTAGTATTTGGTCATACCTGGGCTGTATGGGAGGACATTTCCAAAGGTCAAGTATGTAAAATGTCATAGATGAGCATCAGCAGACAAACGTGTGGGCTGAGTTTTGATAATAGATCCTAATTTTGAAATCGTTTAAATGAAGTTGTCCCAAGAAAAAGTTGTACCTCTTTGTCACACTTCTATTATAAAAAATTGTACTTAATTATTACTAGGTAGTAAATTTCATCAATGAAGAATTTGTGATAATTGATTTTCTCTTTCTATATGTAAGCATCTACCTACTATCCAATCTTCCTCTTGGTCCATGAAGATGGTTTCTTTGTGGAAAAGTCTAAGAAATTGAGTCCAAAAGGAACCATTTTCTTAGCACTTTTCTAACAGTATTTTATTACTTCGTATTCCTTACAGCAAGAAAAATTTGATCAGACACATAACCTAAGCTTTTATAGACATTCTTGGTCTTTATTCCTATAGGAGAGCTTTTTCTTTAAAGCTCATTGTGTTTCATGGAGATTTTTAAGGGAACTATGTAGACAGGGCATTAGTTCTTCCTTCTAGATGTTTCTATGGTGGGAACACATGTGGCGTGAAGCCAAGCACTGCGGTTTAATCACTGACGTTTGGGACTGCTGGCCTAGCTTTCCAAGCAGTCAGCCTGAGTGATGGTACAGACTGTGTTTTGGTAAACTTTGACTAAGTCACAATACTAACATCCTATAGGTAAACCATCATTGATATAAGAACAAATATGCTTGTTTGGTTTTTAAAATTTAGAGTGAGCATATAGGTCCACTCTGCCTGAAGTAGGTTGCCCCTTTTTAAGCATACACTATTTCATGAGATATTAAAAGCTGAATTAAAGTGGAAAAGGGAAGTCATTTATCCCCGCTTAGATATCTACTAGAAATGCCTGGTGTATTCCTTTTGTGCCTTAAAGCAGTGACTTCATGTGTTTATCTCAGACTGTCCAATGAGTACTGTTTTTGTTTTGAAGGAAAATTTGAGAATGGCTTGGCAGAAGGAATAGTGGACCCCAGTCTGAATCCCATTGCAGCCTTTCGACTTTCAATTATTCAGAATTCTGCTGTTTGGGCCATTCTTAATGAGGTAAGAATGTACTAAAGCAGTGAAGTCCCTTAGGTACTGCTTTATTTGGTTACATTTTCATTTTGCATCTAAGACTGTTTTTGAAACTGAGAATTAATGGTCTTACACATTTATTTTTGTGTTTCAGATTCATATTAAAAAGATCACCAATTGATCATCTAAGAGATCAACACATTTTTCATCTGAATCTATCAATTAAAGATAATTAAGCATGTACTTTTTAAACTTGAACACTACCTCTTGTGAAATCTACTGTAGATAAGATGATTGTTATTTCCACTTGGAGAGTGGATCACCCATGCATAATTGCATTCATTTGAAGTCACACCGTCCTCCAATTTTAACTTGACTGAAACATTTTAGAATTATGACAGCCTGTTAATATGACTTGTACTATTTTAGTATTATACTAATACATAAGAGTTGTACATATTGTTACATTCCTTAAATTTGAGAAAAATAATGTTAAATACATTTTATGAAGGGGGTACTTTTGAAGTTCATTTATTTTATTATGGGCCCTCTTTTATAGATTATCAGGGATTATATATATAAATATATATACATACAAATGTTATGGAGTTAATTTATTAGAAACACTTAAGAAGTACATATTTTTGTGCAGTAAATTTTGGAATCAATACTTTTTTTGAAGACGTTACCTTGCTTTTTTAAGTTCTTTCTATATTTTTTCTTTGAAAGTGCAAACATTACAAATCAATGCCATTTTTCAAATGCACTGCCATTTAAGATTGAATATAGATGGATTTCTTAACTGAAGTACTTTTCTAATAATAGCGACTCTGAAAAAAATATTTTCAAAGGCATTTGTCATTCTTTAAAGCCAAGATTTTAAAGACCAACATCCTGCTTGAGGGTTGTTACTGTACTGTGTATGGTGCACAGCCACAAGAGATCGGTGGGGTGGCTCTCAGCACACAGGTGTGACACATTTGACCAAAATCACTGGCGAGTCGACGCCTACCATTTCCTCTGGGTGAAGATGAGAAACTCTTTTCTTTTTTCATCTTTGTCTTTAATACATGAGTTAAATGCATTTTGTCCTTTTGATCCTTTTATATCTGCTCTCATTTGCTGAGTTCTGACAAAATGTTTTCTATGTAATGTTCTTGTATGAGTGATAACGGGTATAATTTTAAAGAAAAAATTGTAATACTGATTTTTGGTGAAAGGTATTATACAAGTTGGTTTTCCAGAATGATTTATTCTACTGCATTGCATTATGAACTTGCAAGTAAATCATGTGTCCTAAAAGTGTTTATTACTCTTAATATACTCAATTCCAAATACTGCTATCAATTTCATCAGCTCAGCAGTGATCTTTCCGAAGTGAAGGTATGCGCTGGGCATCAGTTCCCCACTCTGACAACCCAAGGGGCTGCTGTAGGCTCTCATGCGCTGGGCTTTGCAAGGCCCTGGCTCAGGCCTGGGCCACGGCGTCCGGCCTGGAGGAACTTCATTGGCTACCCAGTGTGCACCGCAGACAGCACCAAGCAGTATCATTTTCTGTGCAGTGTTACTGAGGAGAAAAGGTAGGAGACACTGACATAGTACAGTTATTTCTGTCACTCTGTGGTAATAGTTTTTACTTTTCTTGACTGGAAAGTCCATGATGATGTCAATAATGTTGCTTATAGCAAAGTCCAGTTAGAACTTTTTTTTTTAAAGGAACTTTAGATTTCTCATTTTCTTTACTTTTTATTTTCTTCTCCAGTTTCCTTATTTCAGTGCCCACATGCAAATTTCTTCAGAAAGAGGTATACCCTTTTATTATAAAATATTGGCCCTGGCTTTCAGCATATGAGATTATTGCTGAAGCAACTGAGTAGGAGAAGGTAGAATCCTGTGCTAATGGGTCTAGGAGTCCCCTTGAGTTCAGGAAGTATTGTTGGGCAGTACTGTGCTGAGTGCTGATGTGATATTTTAGTAGCCAGAATTCATTGATAGGTTAAAAGCAGACAGGAATATATTATAATGCAAATGTGCATTAGGGGGGCAAGGTCCAAGGTGTTAGTTTTGTTAGATTCAGGTGTCTTAGCATGCTCCGCATCATACCATGTAGTTAAGATAGTGTTTGAAAACATTAGAAAAAGTTAATCCAAACAGGTAACATGTGGGCTAGACATGTAGATATGTATTTGGCCATTAGAGGAGTCTTTAAAACAGAGAGACTCTGGCTTTTCAAATCAGTGGCTGCACTGTAAAGAATAAGTAGGTGTGATTATTTAAAAAGCCATCAGCAAAGTTGTAAAGGTTTCTTTTACATCTTTCAGAATATGGAAAAACAAAATCGTCTCCCAACAATGCTCTCTCTCGAAGGAAAGTTCGGCTATTTGCAAACAGCATATTGGAGCAACTACAGCAGTGTGTATTTGTGCTATGGCAGAATCAGAACATGACCCCCAGCCTGTGACCATGTAGGATAGAATTCCCTCTCCCTGAGCATGGCTGGGACTGTACAGTCCATGATCATGCTGTGTTACACAGAGCAGAGGGAGATGATCGGGGGTCACTAATCCAATGTTCTTCCAAAGCAGTCTCCTCAAAGGATGGCTCAAAACCTCCTTGCCAGTTTGAAGGGGCTGCATGAGACGGAATAGAGTGGGTGTGGAGCTGAGGGGCTCTGGCTGCCAGGCAGCAAAGTGAGCCTGCAGCCCGGTGGCCATGGAAACCCAGGGCAGGGTACAGGTTCATTCACAGGCTGAAAAGCAGGCTCGAATGCAGAGCCCAGCATGGCCAGCACTGGGCTTCCAGCTTTGGGGGACACTAAACTACACGCACTTGGCCTATTTGACTTCTGACCTGCAGCCCTGAGATGACTGCGTGGTGGTTTGAGCTGTTAGATTTCCAGTTTGTTGTCCTGCAGCAACAGAAAATGAATGCACATCTCTGAAACAGCAAAGAGAAGTCTTCATCCTTGATTCTTGATGATATGCTGGATTTTATTTTTATCTTAATCAACACATGGGTAGAACCTTGACTAGCAAAGCATATCCCTGGGTTCAGCTAGAATGTTCTCGGCCAGAAATCTGAATCTTCATTAGTGGTTCTTAGTAAAAGCTGTAGCATTTTGCCAGCATCTTACAAAAGAGCTGCAGGAATGAGACTGTGGAAGTGTAAGGAGTTTTTTCCTACATGAGGCGTTTATACTGACTTAGCGATTGCTCTGAAGTACACATAAGAATGGTGAACAGTGGTATTTTAGAGGACATCCCAAATTAAAAGAAAGAACTTCTGCCTTTACGCAGATTTTAGATAATTTGTATGGGGGGCTTATTTTTAAAATCAATTTACCTAACACAGGCCAAACCGTATTTATGCCAACCCAATTACTATACTTTGATGTGTTCCAACATACCTCTCTGCTTCTAAGCTGTTACCTGCTAGGGAAGTTTGTTTTTATTTTGGTTTATCTATTAATTTTTGTGCTCATTACTACATTGCCATACCCTTGAGGTAAGATCAACAGAGCTACGTAAGAGAAAATTAGGCTATCAAGGCTATCAGAAGATCACAAATTCGTGTCATAGTCATCTCTTCACATTGTAAGGGAACCTAGATAGCCAATCCAGTCTCTCTATAGAAAAGGCAACTTTCCCAAGCTATGTACCAATATTTATAGTATGTAAATTTTAATAGTGATAAAATTTTAAGTTAATCTTAACTGATATATGCTATGAAAACTAGTATGCTTATTTGTTTTCTTTCATGCATGTGAATATACAATGCTAAAAGTATTACCATTTTGTAACCAGCAACCAAATCAAGGATTTTGTTACAGGTAGCTCTACATCACCACCACTAGCTAGGTAAACTCTTCTTACCTGAAACGCTCCTTCCTCCAGTTTTCAGGCGCTACATAGATCATTGTCAACGAATAAAGGGGAAAGAGCTGGCCCCGATCGATCGTGTGCTGGGCCGAGGGGAAGGCGACCTTATTTAGGGGAGCAAAGGAAGCGCTGCAGAGAAGCCCTTGTGCCAGGGTGGGTCCGCTTGGTTAACGCTGCAGTAAAATGTAAAGAACAGCGGCGCTAAAACTGAAGGAAGGACTGCTCCTCGTGGGGAACATTTTCATACTCTTGGACATCAGAGAGGGTATCCTGCTCTTAGTGGTTTCCTTATGTTAGCAAATCATTCTAGAATAAAGGTTCAGTAGGTCAGCTCGGTTAGCATTCCATTCCTTATCTGAAATACGCAGTGTTTGCTCCAATTCGGTGAAGATACCTTTGAAGATATAGTCTCTGAGCCTTAAAAGTGGCTGATATCGACAGTACTGTAAGATGCACTGCCAGCAGATTTGATACTTTCATTTCAGTAGACACAGTACGTTTTCTAAGGAAGATTTAGAATCTGCTAAGCCTAACGATTATGTTTCATTTGTGGAACGAGAACTGAAGCGCGCTGTTCCACACACTTCTTCTGTGTCTGGGAGATTCTGGAGCATCCCTGGGTGAGCCAGCCTCCACCAGATCTTTCTTTCCAAATGTATTGTACATATTTTCCTTAAAATGTCTTCATGGGTTGGACAGTTAATAGATTTAGTAATACTTTAGGTACCTGTTGGATTTTTAAAGGAAGGTTATTTATTTTCCAGTTTGCTGCTATAATTGAAATCCTAAGAACTGGTCCTGTCGACTGTGCCTTTCATCCCTGTTTCTGTGCCACCGCGGTTCATGTGTATTGGAAATAAAGAACTCTGAAAAGCCACGCTGAGTTGAAGATTCCTTCAGGAAAGCTAGGTGGAACTGAAAGGTGGTTGTTTTTTTTTAATTGCTTAGAATTGATATAATAGTTGATTTATTTTCAGTTATAAAGAAGAGTAGGTTCTTTGAGTTCTGGTTGAATTCTGGGAAGTCTTTAGAAGAAAAGCTCTGTTGAGACAGTGACTGTCAGCACTGCACTACCATGCACAGGCCGATCCATCAGCCGCACTGCTCCAGTGTACGTGAGGGGGGCCCTTTTTGTTGATTTTTTCCCCCACAAAAAATGCTGTTCAGGTCAGGGCCTCCTGTGAGCTACCCTGTAGGGTATGGCGGGAAGCTGAGGGCCCTTAACCCCCTTGTAGAAATGGGGAGACTTGGCAGGTGGTCAGTAACAGGTGGGTGACTTACCACATTCTCTCAGAATAGTAAAAGGCTTCCCGTTTCTATTTCTTCAGGCCCTTAGCATTTAAATACAGCTCTGTGACTATAAATGCTACAAATATGCAGACTGTAGTTTAAAAAATATTTATTACAGAAATGTACATTAGTTTCAAGGAATGCACTTATCAACAGTGTTAACATATATCTCCTCAAACTGTAAACTTTACACCTTTAAGATATCTACAGAGATGGCCTATTTACAGGTTTTACAGGAACACCACAGCCGGGCTTTCGCTTACTTCACTCTGTACTTGTAGAAAGAGCACAGAGCATGGGTAAAGTTCCACCCCAGCGCGAGCGACAGCCCGTACAGCAGAATGAGCGGTGCGAAGGGGTAGAGAAGAATCACTGTGTTTTTCAAAAATGGCAGTGCTGGAAAAGAAATCAGGAAAGAAACAGGACTACTGAGTGACCACTCTACAAGACAGCTCCCGGCAACACCTGGGGCCACAGGGAGCGCGGCTTTCAAAGGTGCCGCCTCTGATGTGGGGTTCCCAGGGCTCCCTGTGAGCTTCCTTCTCATGCAGGCCTGACAGGAAGTGGGGAGCAGCACTGCTGCAGGCACGGCTGGGCGCGAGCACACAGGACCCACGGCTAGGAAGTGCTGGGAGGGACTGCCGCAGGGGCCTTTGCTTTGTGGTGCTGGGCATTAAACCCAGGGCCTCACACATGCCAGGTAGCACTCTACCAGTGAGCCATGTCCCCAGCTTTTTGTTACTTTGAGACAGGGTCTTGCTGACTTGCCCAGGCTGGCATCTTGAGTGTACCACCACCCCCAGCCTCAGAAGCCTATCTTAAAGTAAAAACAGAAGACATTATGCGAAAGAATGAATGTTTAGCTATCTGACATTACCCTGTGCGAAAAACATCACACCCACGCTTTAGGGAAGAACTAAAAGCTCTGTTTTACAAAACATCTGCCCTAAGTACCCACGTTTCTTACCCACTGGGACTTTTAGGCCCTACCACACCCAGCTGGACCCAGAGTTCACGGGGGAGGCTCCTAAAGGGAGGGAGGCCAGCTGCACTCAAAGTGTGCTGCGCAGTGTCCCGGAGCCCACTCAGAGAACCCGCAGATCTGCAGCGTGGCACTGATCACAACTTAAAAATTCACTACAAACCTGAATACAAAACCCACAAACCTCTGCCTTGGATTAGAAACGGTCTCTTCATGAGGGAATCTGATGAGGGGATTAAGGGTCCCTGGCTCAGGGGCAGAGTGGGCACAAGTGACCAGAGGAGATACCAGAGCTAAGGTCAGTGATACGGGGAGGTGCCCACCATGAGAGTAACAGGCACGCCAAGGCTGTGCGCGCGGACACACATCTATACATACATACGAATTAGGATAAGCGTGTTCTTTGATCATATTAAGATGACCTGAAAGCAGGATTTAAGAACAAATCTGAACATATTCCCTAGGTAAGAGGTGACTCAGTGTGGTTCCCTAAAATCAGGAAATGGTCCATCAGATGGACCACTTCCTGCTTGGGACCAGGGGCAAACTACATCTTTCACTTGAAAATGATGAACAAATAAACCTGAGTCACAGGGCTGCTAGAAGTAAATGAGAGCATTCCGACACCGTGCCACCAGGCAGACAGCAGCACACTGCGTCCCACCCTGCTGCCATAGCGCTTCCTCCCCGACAGGTTCTTGGATGCCCAGGGCTGGAGGGACACTTACCGCTGTATCCCAGGAAGGTCACGTAGATGTAGTAGCCAACTGCAACCAACCATAAAGTATTTCCAACTAAATAGCCAATAAATGTGTCTGTCAGGATAACATCTGCCAAAGGAAATGTAGACAGTGAGTCTCTATCCGTACACACATCTGTCAACACACTAGGAAGCTACTGCTACTTACGGTTGATGAAGAACAGCTGGATAAAATGCAGGATGACTAGGAGTGGGTAGAAAGCATTCAGGTGCACATCAAAGGCATAACCCCACTCCACATCGTAGTCCCTGCTCTGGCGTTTTACCAGGTACTTATTAGAGATGAACCTGAGGAGCAAAATGCACATTTCTTAACACGTCGAACTCGGCTCACCAATCCCAGCTTCCATGGCCCACACACCATCTGACTTCCCAAGGGCAGCAGTGAGGTCTCTGCCTTCGCCTAGAGACCACGCAGAAAGTGAAGAAAGTCAGATGCAAGACTTTAAATGGTGGGGCAGAGGAGATGGCTCAGTAGAATAAGCGCTTGCCTGGCAAGCGCAAGGGTCCAAGTTCAATCCCTGGTTCTGCCAAAAAAAAAAAAA